GGGGGGGGCTGTGTCCCCTCTCCAGGGCCCGGTAGCGCCGCTGAGCCGCTCCCCTCCCTCCTTCCCCAGGGCGGGTGGTGGACATCTACTCCAAGTTCGATGTTATTGTGAGTACTGGGCTAGGGGGGGATGCTTGGGGAGTGGTGGCGGTCCCCGAGGTCCCGGCTGCGTCCCCAATGCCTGTCCCTGCCCCAGAACCTGGCAGCTGAGAAGACCTACAACAACCTGGACGTGACGGTGACGCGGGCGCTGCAGCACCGCTCCCACTACTTCGAGGGCGTCCTCAAGTGCTACAAGCACGAGACGCTGGAGACCATCATCAACCGCCTGGTGGAGGCCGAGGTAACCGCGCCTGGGGTGCCGGGGTGGGGTCTGGGGGGGTCCCCGCTCCCCCTCAGCCCTTCCCTGTGTCCCCCCCCCCCCCCCCAGGTTCACCGGCTGGTGGTGGTGGATGAGAGCGACGTGGTCAAAGGGATCGTCTCCCTCTCAGACATCCTGCAAGCCCTGGTCCTCCCGCAGGGCCCCTGAGGTGGTGGTGGTGGGGGGGGTTAATTCCTCCCCCTGGAGCCCCTCACTCTGCTCTCCTGCCACACTGTGCCCCCCCGGGCTGGCAGAGGCACCCGGGGCGGGACCCCACTCACCAGCAGCATCCAGCAATAACTCCCAGCCCTGGGGCAGCCCCCGCTGCCCTTCCCTGGGTGGGGGGAGCCCAAGGTCCCCCCCTGCACCCCAAGGCCATGCAAAGTGCTGGGGGCAGCCCCCAACCCCCCTGGGGTCACCCACCTCCGTGCCAGGGCTGTTCCCAGTGCAGACCCTCGTCCCCGTCACCCCCCCTCTGCCCCCCCCAGGGTTTCACTGGCTTTGGTGAAACCCCCTCAGCTCTCTCTGGCCCAGGGACCCCCCCCCAGCCCCAGGGGTTCCCCCCAGGCCCCCCCAGGTCCCTCGGCCACATCCACACCCGCCACCGCTTCATGCGTGGAGAAAACCCACAAATAAACACAGACCTGGCACCACCCCGGCTCGGTGCGGGGCACGGGGGGCACCGGCGAGGGAGGGGGTACCCGGGGAGGGGACGCGACCCCCCCGCGAGACAGGGGGAATCTGCTGAGCTCGCCCAGACCCTAAATCCCTGTTTGTTCCGCCCGTGGCTTTTCTAAAAGGCCGGGATTGGGGATGGGATGGGCACAGGGACCCGGCGGGACATGGGGACCCTCCGGTGGGCACCGCGGTGAGCGAGGGGTGTCGGGGCAGGGGCCGGGGGAGGCCGGAGCGAGGGGCTGCGTGTCGGGGGGCTGGCGGGGGTCAGGGGCAGGCGGGAGGCCGGGGTTTGCCGC